CTAGATGCATGTCTGTCATGATGTCTTCTCAGCTTGAGTATAAAGACTACTTGCTGGAATGCGCTTTAGCAAAGATAAAGGCGCAAAAAGACGAAAACAGCGCTCTGAAAAAGACGCTAGAAGAGACTAAGAAGTCTCTAAGTGTTTTAGGAAAACACAGTGTCAGATGTGAAGCGTCAAAGCTTCCCTCACTGATAAGTCATGAAGAAAATCTTGATCTTAAAGACAAGATTGAAAGACTTAATGAGACCCTTTACAAAAAGGAGAAAGAACTTGATGACACGAATAAGCAGCTTGCTAAGACCACAGAGGATCTGATACAGTCAGAATCCCTACTAGAGCAAGCAACAGGAGATGTAAAAGCTTTGAAAGCACTGGTCAAAGTGCGTGCTGAAGCTCTTGAAGTTAAGGAGAAGCAAACTTCTACCTTACAGCACCAGCTCCAGATAGCTCAAAGACAGTTAATTCTTTGTCAAGAACGGCAAGAAAAGACAGACAAAGAACTTGAAGATGCCCAAAGAGAGTTACAATGCTCCCTCCAGTCAGGTCGAGCCCAAAGAGAACGCATGGAGCAAACGTTTCTTGAAGAAATGATAGGTGATCAGCCTCCTGAGAGAGCGCCATCACTTCCTTCCAAACCAACTCTTAAGTATCTCTCTCAGCATCATGACAGGACCCTGCTTGACCCTGAGAGGTCATCCTTAAACCAAGAGTCCTACTCTCCTCCTCATGATGGCTTCTTACCATCTCCCTCAGACAGGGATCTTGACAAAATTGCTCGCAACATAGCACGCTTTGAACCTGAGCACCAAGGTGCTACTGACACCTGCACCTACTTGAAAGACATTGACTTTTACCTGAGGAAATTTCCAGGTGCAACCATTGATGACAAAATCTACCTTATTAAGGCAACATCAAGTCGAGAGGTTAGCAGTTTCCTTGAACGACAGCCTTATCATGTCAGAAATAATTATGACTTGCTCTGCCAAGCATTAATTGAAGAGTTTTCTGACTATTTGACCCAGACAGGCCTCTCTGCTGCTCTGTCTATTAAACAAGGGAGATTAGAATCTCCCCAACAGTATTACAACCGCTTACGCGAAGCTTACTTTGGTTTCCGAAATGAACCAGAAATGGAGGAGGACTTGAACTTCAAAACGCTGTTCGTCCAGAACCTCCACCCTACCACCAGTCATCACCTTGGCGTCTTAGCTTGTCCAAACACTTTGACTAGCCGACAGCTTCGTGAACTTGCTGTAAAAGGTTTTGCCAAACAACGACAAACTTTGGCTAAGAAAGCAGAGCCTGTTACTCTCTTGGCTATGGAGACAAAATCACTGCCCATGGAGCTGAACGAAGCTTCAGACTGTGTATTTTCAGGCTCCGATAAGCCTCCAAATGAGTGGTTAACCAGGCCTCCAAAACCTTTTCGACCTCAACAAACTCACAAAGGTCAAAGTTACACACCAAGGCCCAGGTCTGACACAGACCAATGCCCGGTAAACTTTGAGACCAACTGTTGTTATTCAGACTCCCGTCACGATGGGTTTTGTCCCAGACAAAGGAAAAACCATCGACACCGCCAAAGGGGGGTGAATGACTGGCAGAATCAGAGTAAATTACACTCTCAGAAACGACGATCTTATTATCCACCTCAATCGGTTTCATCCACTTTGAAGGTGAATAAACATGACAACTCAGCTAACCACTGAGATTAACACTGTGGAGTCATGAAGGTGTGAGTCCTGCGAAAGCAGAAGTCACCCAGCCAAAGCTAAATGACTCCAATAAGATATCCAAATGCTGTGGTGATACATTGATGACTGCAATCCCAGTTGCTGCTTTCTTTGTTAGCATTTGTCTCTCCTCTGTCAATATGGTCAGCTTGTCAGCTGTCAAATATCCCATGAACAGATTAAAACCTGAAATTTCTGTCATTAAGACTCAGACTGACAAATTTCAGACTCAACAGCAGATAATTAGTCAAACCAATAAGAGCATCATCCCCAAGTTTAACAAAGTTTAAGAGAAACTCTGTGCAGTAAACATTTGATGTTTGTGATTCAGGTTGACTATGCTCATACACAGATGGTTAATATGTCTATAGCAGACATTTCTTTTCCACCTAAGTCTTAACCATTTTTGAAACTGAAATTGAACTTTCAGACTTCTCCAGCAAGCATGGAAAACAGCTATATCTTTAGATCCAGTTAGCATTCAGACTAAATAGTGCTTTCCTAAATCTCATTAATACTGAAAATTAGGAGATTTTCTTTCACATTAGTCTACCAATAGTTAACTGAGAAAAGTCTAACAACAAGACTATTTTATTTGATAGCTTAATGCATGCTTAATTTTATCTCAAAGCAGTACTAGTGATTCACATAGTGATGACGAGACGCATCAGTCCTATTTGCATACACCTGCTGCTGCTTCATGGTTGTCTACTCGTCGTCCCGATGCTCCATGGACAGGACCACCGTGACGAAGGGGGGACTGTAGCAATCAAGACAACCCTGGATGTGAAACCCACACATTCCTCACAGGAAAGCTTCCTTATCTGGTCCCAGGAAACAGGATATAAATCTTTCCAGACGTGTTTGCACTTTCAGGTTAAATAAGTGACCCAACCGGAGGTTGACTAAACCTCTGACTCTTCAGGATTGGTCAGTTCGGCGAACAGAGACAGAGTTTTTATTACCTTTCAAACTGACTCCATTTGCTGACCATCTAAATAAACATTAACGTCTCAACCCAGATCTCCCATTTGAGATTTAGTGTCTTAAAGTGTGTGAACATACGGACCCTAGGAAAAGGGGGGACACTGACCTCCAGACCTCGGTCGTAAAACCCTGCTCGACCATGCACTGATAAAGACTACATTCCTTTGGTGAAAGAATACAAATGACTGATCCTGACATCTTATGCATTCAGCAATGTACTAATCTGTCTAATCATGAAATTTGTGTTAAAATGAGATGTTTCCCGTTTTTCTATGTGCTTCAGAAGCCAAATTATCACTCCCGATATCTTTAGACCAACAGCTTTTCAGACTGTTTCATGAACTTTTAAGAGTTAAATTTATTGATTGTGACTCATAACTTAGCTCTAATTAACAGAAATGGTTTAGAAATGTTTGTTCTATATTTTAATCGTTTATTTAGTATTTTTAACCATTAGGTGGTTATAATGTCATTGAATAACCTGAATGTGAGTATTTAGAATCCATTATTAATCATGATGACGTTCATTCACATGTATTTACTCTTTTGTTGTTCACAGTTTCCATGTGTTACTATCTGTTTCATTTCAGAGTAATTTAGCATGTTCAATGTGATACTTTAAACATAATGAGAATGTTTGATGTGATCCTACACTTCATTCATATGTGTTTAGTGTCAAATTATTTGTCATGAAACCAAGCATTCAATGATATTAATCATAGTGAGTGAGTATCAGATCTGACTATTTTACCAGCCAAAAGAATAAGTTAGATCAAATAATCAAAGACCACACGACCCTCCTCTGTCTCACACACACACGCCGGAGCCACTCCCAGTGTGAGAAGATAAAACCAGTGAAGTGGGGTTGCTCACTCTCTTATGCTCCTCTTCTCTCTTATGCTTCTGCTCTTCTGCTGACTCTCTTGTCCCCGGCTCTTATGCCCCTTCTCTTCTGCCCACACCCTTCTGTGGTGCGTTTCTTTGTTTTCTCTTAGAACTTTTTCTTAGTCTTCTAAGTTTTACGCCACGTGTTGATTCACGTTGAATTTTCTTTAACATCGTCTTAGTTCAAGTTTTGAAACTTCAACTTTTTGTGCACATAGCAATTCAAGATTAAGCCTTTGATTGATTTTCTTTAATTTCGCGAAGCCATTTTTGAAAGTTTTCTCTGCTCTTCGAGCCTCGTTTTTCTGAGTTTTCTGCGTGATTTCAAAGTCACCTCCGAACGCAATCCAACAGGCCCAGGTCATCCTCTGTGCCAGAGTTTTTGAGTGAGACTAAAGAAGTACCCAAACGAGCATCCACAGGATCCACAGGCGCTGGTTTTTGCTTCGGGCCTGAGTGCTGCAACTCCTGGCTCATCCTTCGGCTGACTTCAGTCGTCTTCTGAGCTGAACCGCTCGAACCGCCAGTAGCCCGGACCTTCGGAACCTGCTCCATCTTCTCCAAGGACCAGTCTCACTTAAGTATGCAAACCTCCAGAGCTCTAAAGAGGGCTGGTGCTGTCTCCTGCGTTCAACTCAGATATCCTCTTATTCTGGTAATCTTAGATTCCTCCAAATCCACATCCGAGTTTATCTCGACACTAAAGTTAGTGTAGGTTAATATGTTAGCGCATATTCACTCACTATCATTAACTTTAGTGCTCCTAGCCTGACTCAGAATCTTTATTTATTCACCTATTATTATTTTATCCTCATTATCTTATCATCATTTATTGCATGTGTGTTGTACCATCATTTATCCTGTAATAAACAGATCATTATTTTTCTAAGTTCCTGTCTGTTAGTGTTCTTCCAGAAGTGGAGTCCCTGAAATTAGAATTTCGACTTAAGATATGAGACTGATTAATTAAGACTGATTAATTAAAACTGACTTGATGTTTGATTTCTGAATTAAACTTTTGTTTTCTTTATTTTCCCACCATTAAGGGTGGGTGGTGCCCCTTTCAACGAGTGCATAAATGTCATAATTTGAGATTATTAATCTTCAGACATTTATTATAAATTCCAATCGCCAAGTATTATTTTGGTGCGGCCTTGTGAGGCTCATTTCAAATCACTACATGTAGTTTGAAAACCGGCTTTTGTGTGTAGAGAAAAGGAAGGACAGTTTTGATAAATGTGTCTTAGAAATGGTCGGCTCACTCTTCCGAAGTATCAGCCCTTGAGACTCTCAGATTGAGTTGAATTTCCACACGAAACACCACGCACACACAGAGTTTTTGATAAAAAACCTGATTTTCTCTGTCTGGGTTTCTTTATTGTACATGAACTACAGAGGAGGGGTGAGGGTGGGGGAGACCAAGGGGGAGGGACTTTAGAAGTAGTTGACGACCCTGCGGATGGACTGGATGTTGGGGTTCTGGGCCTGCCACTCGTTATGGCTGCAGTAGTCTCCACGCTCCACGATGTACATACGACCACGGAAGTTTGGCTCCTCATACATCACCCAGCTGAGGACAGAGAAAACAACCAATCAGGGATGAGTAAGAACTGAACCATCCAATCATAAAGACTCAGGGCCAAATAAAACTATAATAGTGGTGGAGATTTTTCTGTGTGAGGACAGACTGACAAGTCTCTGCAGCCAATCTGATACAGGTGATTGTCAGATCATCCTCTGGGGAGCAGGACTGAACTCTGAACATGAACTGGCACTTTGTTAAAGGGTTATTCCAGCTTTTTTTAAGGATGGCTGTATGAGTTATTAGTGTGGCAAAAACACCTAGTAGTGACATGTAAGTCTTTAAACCTACAAACATACTGAAATATACTTAACAAAACTATAACACAGTCTTGACTGTGAGTACGTGTGAGTATGTTGTATCAGACTAAAGAGGAGGACACAGAAACATGTGAGTGTGTTGAGTGTTGAGTGTCAGACTTACGCTCCGTCTCCGAAAACCTTGAGGGAGTTGATGCAGCTCTTGGACATTCCGCGGCTCTGCAGGAAGGGACAGTCCTCACAGATCTCCACACTCTGACCGGAGAAGTTACAGGCCTCGAACAGCTCGATACGATAGTGCTCTCCATGCTGAGGGGCGAAACAGACAAAGTCCGATTTATAAGTACAGAAGTAATGTTTTTGTTTCAGGATGAACTTTTAACACATCTCCATTATCTGATGTTTAACCTCAAACACAGTTCATCACTGCATCCACAAATGAGGGTAAAACTGGACCACTATAATTTATTTCTGATTCTGCTGCCTCTCTGTGAACTTTGTTGAATGACTGTCTTCTACAGCAGGAAAGTGTTCGACCTGGTGATATGAAATCAAGGTTAATGAAGTGTACCATGCGGATGGGTTTGCAGGATCCCATGTGGTCGTTGTGGGAGTTCCATCTCTGGAATTCTGGGTACTCTCCGTGCTCCAGTATGTACTGCTGACCCTTGAAGTCCGGGTGGTCGAAGCAGATCCAGGCTCCGCTCTCCACACGGATGGAGTTCACCCTGAAAATAGAGCGGATCACAGAGTCCGAGGAGGTCAGGGTGTTTCCTGTTCAAGTCTTTAATCACACTTTCTTTTTTTCTGTGAAGTATTTTAATCTTTTATTCCTCAATTTCAGTGTTAATGTTCCTCAGAAATAACTCATTTAAACTTTCTCCAAATTTACTGTCCCTACACACAAGATTCACCAGCATGCTCAGACCAGGATCTGCACTCTCCTGGGGTCTTGGAGCTTGAATCGGAGAACCTGAAGAGTAAACTTTAGAGTCACCTGTTCATGAAGCCGCGGTCCTGGAAATTATCACAGTCTCCTCTGACCTCCAGCTTCCTGCCGGTGAAACATTTCCCCTCAAAAAAAGTGATCTGGAAGAAAACATGAAGAAAAAATTAGATACTCTCCACCTGAACACTGCAGTTCCTCACTGTTGGCAAAGTAATGTTTATTTATTCCACTTGTCTGACAGATTTGATCCTTAAAGACACTCATGGGGGGAAACATAAAAGAAGTGAATTTATTTAACATTTTTAAGGGGTTGTGCTCTAACAGAATCTGGATTTATCTGAAAACAAGGACAGCAGGATCTCCTTATTTTCACTGAAGCTCTTACAAAAGTCACTCATATTTTACAACATAAGAAAGAGAATTAATTATAAGGATTCAAATTCAGAAAGTTCCACACCGAAATACAAAGAAGCTACGAGCAGCCTGTTAAATGTTGCCTGATGGTTGATTTAAATACAAGTCCCGCCTCCAGGACAAACAGCCAATCATGGTTTGGCATTTCAGGGTTCCAAATTATGTTTTAGCCCCACCCCCTGACTCCGCCCCCACTCTTTTCGCTGACAGATCAGTTAGTAGAGCAGGCGCCCCATGTCAAGGGACCACCGTGCTCATCACGCTAGTCATAGGATCGATTCCCCTCTCTCTAAAGCTGTCCTATCAAAATAAAAGCACAAAGGCCCAAAAATAATCTAAAAATAAAAACAACATGGTGAAGAGTTTAATCAGTTCGTAAAGACCAGAACTGTAAATCCTAGTTTTTAACCGGGGAGGAAGTTCAAATAGAAGGAACCAAATTTGTTATAAATCTGACATAAAGGAGACGAAAAAATAAAAGCATCACTTTCACAATAAAAGAGAAGGATATCCTTTAAAACTATGAGAGATTTTCAGCCACCTCAGACGGACAGATCATCATCTCACTGAACTCTGATAATAAAAACGAAAACAGGTGATTTCAGGTGACGATATCTGGAGGACATGAATCTCATCGTGTTTTCCTCTGAATTTAAATCTAATTTCAAAACTAACTCCAGACTGATTCTTTCGCTCGTTTCCATCAAACACCTGAGGATATCTGTGGTTAAAGAGTTTCCTTCTGACTCGCTCTCTTCCAGGTCACAGCTGATCTACAGACTGGTCTCACTCTCCAGAGGATCTACCCAGAAGCTGAAGCTGCGTGTTGTATACTCATCCTCATCGTACTCACCTTTCCGGAGTACTGCGACATTTTACCCTCTGGATGTTGTCCAACCTGGCCCACAACCACACGCACAGTGTAACAGAGAAAAAGTTGGACGCACCAATTTATACGGCAGGGGGGCGAGCGAGGGGGCGAGGACCCGCCGTCAGGACAAAAGAGCGGGCTTCAAAAGTTTCTGCTGCCTCGACGTTTCCCTTCATCCTGACGTGTCTGCTGATTCTGCTGTGTGTGTGTGTGTGTGTGTCTGTGTGTGTGTGTGTGTGTGTGTGTGTTTCAATAGAATGTGCTTGGCCTGAGCTTTGTAGGGTCCATGGTATTACAGAGACAGAGAGAGGACTCATCAGGACCATAACATCTACAGAACACCTCCTACAGACGCCGCAGCCTGACAGGACAAGCCCCCATGAACAGACCTCTGCGCTGGACAGAAGGGGACTCTGGACACCCCCTCCACACACACATTTACAGAGCTAATAAAGATCATCAGGTCTTCACTGAACCCGTGCTGAAGTTTCAAATCTGAGTCCGACAGCTGGTTTCCTCTTAAAAGTTTTGGACTGCTGTTATTGGGCCTGTCCACAGAGATGCCACTGGATCAGCTCCGCCCCCCACCACGCCCTTGGAAACACCCATCATAGGAACCAACCCCAAACCCCCCCGCCTCGCCATCTACAATATCAGTCACCCCACTCACAGTAAAAACACCAAAGTCCTCTCTGGGCGCCCTGTCAGTATCAAAAACATTAAAAGTTTCCTGTTGATACTCTTGATGTTGGAGGTTAAAAAGTGACTTTAGATGTCCTTTTATAAAAATGTAAAAATAAACCTGTAAAAACAAAACATTCATAAAAGTACAAGTAAATATTTGAAAGATAACAATGTCAAACATTATGAAATACACTCACAAGCCACTTTATTAGGTACACCATGCTAGTAACGGGTTGGACCCCCTTTTGCCTTCAGAACTGCCTCAATTCTTCGTGGCATAGATTCAACAAGGTGCTGGAAGCATTCCTCAGAGAGCTTGGTCCATATTGACATGATGGTATCACACAGTTGCCGCAGATTTGTCGGCTGCACATCCATGATGCGAATCTCCCGTTCCACCACATCCCAAAGATGCTCTATTGGACTGAGATCTGGTGACTGTGGAGGCCATTTGAGTACAGTGAACTCATTGTCATGTTCAAGAAACCAGTCTGAGATGATTCCAGCTTTATGACATGGCGCATTATCCTGCTGAAAGTAGCCATCAGAAGTTGGGTACATTGAGGTCATAAAGGGATGGACATGGTCAGCAACAATACTCAGGTAGGCTGTGGCGTTGCAACGATGCTCAATTGGTACCAAGGGGCCCAAAGAGTGCCAAGAAAATATTCCCCACACCATGACACCACCACCACCAGCCTGAACCGTTGATACAAGGCAGGATGGATCCATGCTTTCATGTTGTTGACGCCAAATTCTGACCCTACCATCCGAATGTCGCAGCAGAAATCGAGACTCATCAGACCAGGCAACGTTTTTCCAATCTTCTATTGTCCAATTTCGATGAGCTTGTGCAAATCATAGCCTCAGTTTCCAGTTCTTAGCTGAAAGGAGTGGCACCCGGTGTGGTCTTCTGCTGCTGTAGCCCATCTGCCTCAAAGTTCGATGTACTGTGCGTTCAGAGATGCTCTTCTGCCTACCTTGGTTGTAACAGGTGGTTATTTGAGTCACTGTTGCCTTTCTATCAGCTCAAACCAGTCTGGCCATTCTCCTCTGACCTCTGGCATCAACAAGGCATTTCCGCCCACAGAACTGCCGCTCACTGGATATTTTTTCTTTTTCGGACCATTCTCTGTAAACCCTAGAGATGGTTGTGCGTGAAAATCCCAGTAGATCAGCAGTTTCTGAAATACTCAGACCAGCCCTTCTGGCACCAACAACCATGCCACGTTCAAAGTCACTCAAATCACCTTTCTTCCCCATACTGATGCTCGGTTTGAACTGCAGGAGATTGTCTTGACCATGTCTACATGCCTAAATGCACTAAGTTGCCGCCATGTGATTGGCTGATTAGAAATTAAGTGTTAACGAGCAGTTGGACAGGTGTACCTAATAAAGTGGCCGGTGAGTGTATAAAGGAGTTCATCCACTGAACATCAGATCAGTGTCAGTGTGATGTACCATTCAGGGATCCTAATGTGACAGGATATGCAGTTTGTGATGTGGTTACCTGATACAAACAGTCTGATACCGATATTTATCGTTGTCGCTTTCCTCTGCTTCATCCGGGTCGCGGGGGCAGCAGCTTCAGGATGGAAGCTCAGGCGGCCCTCACCCCAGCCACTTTCACCAGCTCCTCCTCTGGGCGGATTCCCAGGCCAGGCGAGAGATATAATCCCTCCACCTGGTCCTGGGCCGGCCACGAGGTCTCCTCCCGGTGGGACAGGTCTGGAACACCTCTAACAAGAGGCGTCCAGAAGGCGTCTTAACACCTCAGCTGACTCCTCTCGATGTGGAGGAGCAGCGGTTCTCCTCTGAGCGCCTCCCGAGTGTCCCTAAGGCTGAGCCCGGACACCCTGAGGAGGAAACCCATTTCAGCCGCTTGTATCTGCGATCTTGTTCTTTCGGTCATTACCCAAAGTTCATGACCACAGGTGAGGATCGGCACGTAGATCGACCGGTAAATCCAGAGTCTCTCCTTATTTATCAACATATTTATAAATTGTATTTTTATTTGAATTTATTTGTATTTATATCATGAATTTATAAATGGTTTAGCTGTACTCTGGATGTCACACCATCAGGGTCATCTTCATATTACTGCGTCATGTATGTTTATTTTTTAGGACTGCGGCGTGGATGAAGAGGTCATGACTTTATTGTCTCCACCTGTGGGGAGATGAAGTTCATCTGATCTGAGGAATCACCAAGGAGGAGGCTGAAAACGTGAGAAGAAACAAAATATGTGGAGTAAAATAACCTGTTTTTAAGGTGGTTCACTTTAGGCATGGACATGTTTGTTGTAGTTGATGCAGCAGCGCCCCCTTCTGTCCATGCTCCTGCACCTACAGCTCAGTGGAGCAGAGTTCACCCAGAGAACTTTAAGATACTGGAGATACTTCAGATTAAACAGAGTTAGATTAGTTTTTAATATCGGAGCATGAACAGATCTGAGTGTTTAGTAATAAGGACATAAATCCACAGTGACTGAGGAGAAGAGGAGACCTGCTGAGTGTAGGCGGAGTAGGAGTATCAGAAGTATCCCAGCAGTAGTTGTAGTAGTAGTCTGAAAATACAGTGACAGTAGTAGCAGTAGTCATAGTAACAGAAGTCTGTCTTTCTCCTCCGGACCAGAGCGCGCGCCACGTCGTGCGTATCCCGTGTCCGCGCAGCTGTCCACGGCGCTGCGCTCCACCATGGAGGCGCACAGCGCGGCTCTGAGTTCCCGTGGATTCACCTGACCGTGGATCTGTGTGAAACCGCGTCTCTCCCCGACCTCCAACCACCAACCGGGAGCTGCTGCCGGGCCGGGAACACAGAGCTTCTATCCGGCTTCTCAGGGCGCGGAGCAGCGGGGGAAGGAGCACCGCTGTGCGCATCCTCAGGATTACTTCACGTTAGGGACTTTGTCATTTTTGTAGCTGTGATTTAAAAATGAGTTAATTCAGGATGTTGTCTGTGAAAATAGACAAAATAGTTTTTATCCAAGGAGAGTCAGTGCAATGAAGAACCAGAGCTCATCAAGTCCAGACTCTTAAAGTCCTGAACCCAAACTATAAAATGAGACTTTTAGCTCAAATCATCTTAAAGTGGACGACCATGAGAGAAAACTGTTGGAATAATATCAAAATGATGTCTAAGAGGTTTTAAAGGACCCAGAGAGGATAATTCAGGCCCACATGGACCCTCCAACAGTACCCTATCAGTGTTTGGAGATAATCTGATAATTAAGCTGAGAGAGGATTTTGTGGCTGATGATGATGAGGAGCAGCGCAGAGAAGAGACAGGAGGAAGAGGAGGAGGACAGGAGCTGCAGTAAGAAGAAGAAGAGGAGGAGGCCGCTCAGACTGCACATGCCTGTAAGTGTCCGTCTGTCCGTCTACCTGTCTGTTTCTCCTGAAATTTAACAGGTTCTGAAATCACACAGCCTCACTCTCCACCCACACAGAGACGGTTTCCTCTGAACTTGACTTTCCAGGCACATCTCCAGAAACCTGCTGCAGACTGAGGATCCAAACTAACTCACAAACTAACTGATTCACTTCTGTTTGCTGCCCCTGGTGGACATATGGGGAACTGACATTTTTGGTAGGTCCAATCAACTCAATAAAATCGAGACCACGAGATCAGACTTGGTTAGTTTGGTGTCATCAGTGATAAGCAGCTGATAAAACCGGGAATGACCTGATTAAGAAATAAAGGTCAGACTGTCATTTCTTGGTCAATGACTGAGTGGGCGGGGCTAACATGTGCCTGCTGCGTGAAGCAATAAAAATCAGCGCTGCTAACCCTGACCTATTCTTCAGTATTTTTACCCACATAAATATGAATAATCTGGCTCTGTCAAAGGTCACTAAATCCACCTCCCAGCAGCTCCAAACCTCCCTGATGAGTTCATAACGTCTCCTGAATAAAGTCTGACAGGATCAGGTGTTTCTGTGGTTGAATCAGCTGTTATCAGCTGGTTGTAAATAACTCTAAACTGTTCATTTCTCAGGTTAAAGTTTAAAACTGGAGTCACTTTATGACTCGTCTTTCAACTTTAGCCGCCGTAAATCAATACAGGAGATCTTATTAATGACCCACTTACCCAGGGGTGGGGGAGGGACTCCAGGACCAGTTCTGGATTAGGACCAGTTTGAGCAGACTACTGTACATCATTTGTCTTAACGGTTCCTTGCTAAAAGTATAACCCCCAATCTCCACCTTCATCCTGATCGTCTCCTAAAAGGTCGTATCCTCCGATCGTAGCTGATCGTAACCATTCAAGTTAACGTGTCAATTTACACCGACTTCTTTCCGTTCCTCTGCGGATCGCCGGACTCCTCAGCTGATCACAAGAGTTCTATTTTTTCTGGACGCCGGAGCATGGCGGATAAATTCAGCACAGATTAACCCGTGCTGGAAAGGAAGTCGGGCACAGTCACAAAATAAAACATCCTGCTTCTTTTCAAAATAAAACACTCCGTGTTTCAGGAGGATCGTATTTCACACCATGCAAACGGGCGGAGACGAACAAATGAAAGGTTTTTAGACGTCATTTCACCCCGATGACACCATGGATGAGGAGATGCTGATTCTAGAAGTCTAGAAGTAGATTTCCTCCTCTGGAAGGACACAATCTACTGCTTATATGTCTATGTGTCTGTCTTTAGAGAGACAACTCGGTGTCATGTGATTGAACGTGAATCTGCAGGTTCTTGTGAGTTCTCACGATTACTGCTGTCTGTAATCCACCATGAAAGTCGCCTCACAAACGGATCTGGTTGGAATTGGTGGATGCCGCCGTTCCGGATCAGAGCTGTTCTGGATGCATTAAAAATTGGGGGTTACTATCCGTGCTTTGCAAAATAATCACAGAGAGAGGAGCAGGAGGAGGTCGGTGTGGGTCTATGTGTGTCTGAAAAGCAGAAGGACAGAATGATTTTATTCAGAGAGGATGTTCTCTCTCTCAGCCAGGCCTTTGAACCTTTACTCCAGGGTAAATCCTGAATACTAGAGTCCAGACCCTCTTCAGGACTTTGGCTCTAGAGCCAGTACTGAGTGAGAAGGAGAGTAACTCCACCTGATCCAGCTTCAGCACCGACTCTACCTACACACAGACACACCTGAAGGTGCTGTCTAATGATTCACCTCCACCTACCATCACAAACTGCAGCTATCAGCCCTCCATCTGACCTGAGAACAGCCTCGGTGTGTGTGTTTGTTTGTGTGGGTCACAGGATAAGATCGGACTGACTGCAGTTGTGTTGGTGATCCGTCTTTATATTCACTGTAATCTGTTATAATCTGTGTTCCAGCAAATAGTCTGAGCCTGAAGGACAGAGGCAGAGCTGAGTGAAGGTTAGAGTGTCTGACGAATTGGATTATGCCTCGTGTTTCGTGTTTCGTATTGTAAGTGGAGCTATCCTGTTATTCCCCGATCGTCATGGCAACAGTTTCTTATGTAGAAATAACAGACTGCAGACTGGTGCAATGGACCAATCAGAAACAAGTACTCCAGAATGGCTTCTTTTGACTCGGGTTCTTGTTTGTGTTTCTTTCAGACTCTGTCAAAGAGGATAAATCTGAAAAACTGAACAGAGTCGACCTGACAGCGAAACCTGAACACACCTGTTTATGTTCATACACACATTTTCACTGTGTGTGTGTGCGTGTGTGTGTGTGTGTGTGTGTGTGTGTGTCTGCAGTATGTGGGTCAAGGAAAGCTGATCTCGGACCCTCTCAGGAGACATTTTTGTGATGACATTCGGCTTCATGATGATGTCACTGGAGGTCAGAGGTCAGCGTCAGGAATGGTCTGGTCTGTAACCGTAGAAACTGGGACAGAAACTGTCGCCAATTAACTCACCAGGCGCTGACAGTGTGTCAGAAGATCAGGCTCTGATTGGCGGCGTCATTGATTTTGGATCATAAACTGTTGGAACTCCTGGTTATCATAAATATAAGAAAGCAGAAACCTAAAGGAGTGAGCTGTAACCTCAGAACTGCAGTACCACAAATGTCCATTAGAGGCTGCCTCTGAAAGTGAGTCAGTCCCCATAGAGCCCCATGTTAAAATGCCCATCAGCAGAAATCAACATGTTTACAGCCTGATACAGACTCAGTTTTGGTGTCTATGACTCGTTTTTTACTCGCTTATGATCAGGCTGAATTTCTGAAAATATTAACGCCCCCTGCAGGCTGGAGAGTGAGACTGCAGGGGGCGCATCCAGGGAGTCATCAGTGTTGTTATTGATCAGTTTTTTTTGAGTTAACACACCCTCACAAACACGTGACCGGGAAGGGACACTGAGGTTAGGAGAGGGAGGGAGGGGAGGAACAGGGGGAGGAGAGGTGAAAGAGAAGAAAGTGACAGAAGGAGAGAGAGACACAAACAAACAGGAGAGAGAGAGAGAGAGAGAGGGCAGGGAGCTGATTTACCGGATAATTGATTTGTGGAAACAGCAGATCAGAAGGTATGATCGGTGTGTGAGTGTCTGACCTCCTTTAATCTCGCTCCAGTTTCTTCCTCCTGTCAAAAATTCTTCTTTTGCTTCTTGTTGAAAACTTTAAGATATGATCCAAAGACAAACTATTTCTGAAGTTTTACTCTGAGTTCAGGGCTGCTGTTGTGTGAGTTCAGAGAAAATGTGGCCTTAAGGTGCTGAGATTTGTCTTTTCTTCTGGTGACAGGTCAGCTGTTATCCTCAAATCTGAAGTTTCATGTCGGGATGCATGATAATATTGGCATGATTTTGTTATCAGGAGATCATAGCTTTAAAAATGTGTTAGTTTTTTTATAGATATGATGTTTTACTGTAAATACGGTGACACTTAAGTACATGCAGGTGATGACGGCTTACACAACGAAAAACTGATGAACAGAGAGTCCTCAGATCGGCCTGTTATCAGCCTCTTTGTTTTGATTGGATCAGACCGTCAGAGCCGTGAATTCACTCTGGATTTGTTAGAGGTAGACCAACAACTCCTGTGCTCTGTGAGGTGAAACCGCTGTTACTACGTCACAAACTAAAAGCTCAATCTCTGCAGGGATCCTCTCTGTTATTAAAGTGAAATCCTTAAATCTGAGATGTTGACTCTTCTGACTCTTATTTGCACCCTGAGCCATACTCGGTGGGTTTGCACGTTTATTTCACCTTTCTCTGCCCCTCTCGGTCTGCAGGTCGAGCGTTGACATCATGATCAGACACGAACATCCTCCTGACTGCAGATCATTCAAAGACTAGATGAGTCAGAGAGACGAGGTTTAGACGAGGAACTTTAGAGAGAGAAATCAGCAGAATGTAAGAGAACAAAGTCACAGCTGTGTGTGTGTGTGTGTGTGTGTGTGTGTGTGTGGGCGAACAAACTCGGTCTGGAGCTGAACTGTTAGTTTCCCATGGCAACCAGAAATATATCCAGACTTGAAGTGATGAATGGGTGAGAAAACCCTCAGCTTTGTCTTACAGGAAAGTGAGCAGTATTAAGTTAGTGTCCTTGTGAACGTGTTATTTTTTTTACTACTTTGTCACTTTTTATAGTAATTATTGAAACTTCAGCTGTAAAACAAATTCAGAGTCTAATAATTGTGCTACGGTGAGGGCAAACAGGGATGATGATGTGTTATTGTTGAATTTGTCATTATCCTTTGACCATCCATTCAATATGTCCAATCATTATACGATTAAAAATATGGAAACAGAATCGGCTCAACTTTCACAACAAACATCTTTTTGGAAATTTTCAAAAATGTCAACAAAAAAGTTTCATTTAAAAAAAATATTAAGACACTAAGAAACAAGAGTGAGATATTTTTCTGTTTAGTAAAAGATCCAAAAGAATTATCAGAACAATCTTCAGACAGGTGGTTTCAGGTTTCTGTTATGATGGTCTGATACTAATCTCTACCTCCATGTTTACCCTCTAAACTTTCCCATGATGCCACAGGAGAAGATGCCGAGCTCAGCACAGTTTTGAGGTCAAACATGGAGGACATCTCAGATCACAGTTTTTATTTTATTACAGTCTGTTAAAACTTGTAGTTTCTTAGGCAGTTGTTTGAAGCTCGGTTACCTAAGGAAATAAACACATTGTGATGCAGATCTTTAACGGCTGTTTAATATGCATCTATAGGGGAGGGAAGTGATGAATTTTTAATCCTAATTCTGGATAATAACTACATTGTTTTTGGGTGTTCACAGGATCTGAGTGTTTGCACGATGCCCCACCTGGAGGGAGATCCAGGCCGAGCTGAAAAAAACAGCGGCAGGAAGGTAAAAAACTTTTTACATTATAAAATAAAAAGACTGGATTATAGCGATCAGGTGTGATCGAATCTTAAATGTCTGATCAAATCTTTAATCAGGCCAGAGCCGACCCTAGTCTCAACGGGGGCCCTAAGCAAAATGTGATTTTGGGGCCCTTTATTTCTGCCAATAACATTGATTGTTGATCATTCACACCTACTACAGTATAAATTTAATGCACCTGACATGTCTTTACACATTAAAGGGGGTGGCCTAGGTAATAACATAAATAACACCAGTGAATGACTGATGAATGGTGTTCAGGGTGTCACATATGGTTTGTAATCAGCCGCAGCACTAAAATGTTTTTACTTTATTTTATTAATGATCTATATTTGATCATACAGAAAGCATCACTCATACATGCAAATAGATAATAAATAATAATAAAAACATATTTAAATTTTTCTTTTTTGGATTGCTCTCAGGGGCCCCCTACTGGCCGCGGGGGCCCTAAGCAGGCCCTTAGTTTGCTTATGCCTTGGGCCGGCTCTGGATCAGGTTGTCCAGTTTTGCTAATGTGTCCTGACCAAACTCCAGTTTGTTTGACTTAAATGATTCCAATAGGACTGACAACACAAACATTTCCTTTTTTGGACGAGACTTAAAATTACAGAGATACAGGAGATAAAGAGCTCCTAAAAAACAAACTGAAATTCATCCCTCCAGATTATCTAACTTCATCTCGAGTCACTGAAGTGTTTTTTGTCTGTAGTAGCTCCATATCCATCTGAATCCATCAGCTGGTCAAACTTTTATATCTATTCATAAACACCATTAGTATGAAGCAGCTGTAATGTGTCCTCCTGTCCAGCAGGGGGGAGCATTGTGCCGCTCTGCCAGCCCCACAAGGAACTTCTTCCATCGGGGTGCATTCAACCAGCCTCCAAGCCCGCGGTCTGCTCCAGCGAGGACTTCCTGCTCCAAGATGAGTCCAACCTCCCCCAAAACCATCTTCCCCTACCAGAGTGGACCCCCCGCACAGGAGTCCCCGAACAAGTCCCCGCGCAGGTACACAGTCCCCACAGAGCTCATAAACAAGAATCAACAGAACACAGAAGTTATGATGCTGTGTGTGTGTGTGTGTGTGTGTGTGTGTGTGTGTGTGTGTGTGTGTGTGTGTGTGTGTGTGTGTGTGTGTGTGTGTGTGTAGGCTGAGTTTTAGTGGGATCTTCAGGTCAGCCTCCCGGGATTCGAACCACCAACCATCGTCCTCTCCTGTCAGCAAACTGTTCACCCGCAACAAGAGGGACAAGGCTAGAGGTACGCTGTGTCTGTGTGTGTGTGTGTGTGTGCATGTGTGCGCACATGTGTGCGTGTGTGTGTGTTGTATGTTTGCAATTTGTTAAATGAGAAAAAATTTAAATCAACTTAAAAATCAATTTAGACTCTATTAGAGGAAATAAATCGGCTTAACGGTTACTCTTTTTAGAGTACACACACACACATACACACTTTAACACACAGGAACACACTTTAACACACACACAGACTCACACAATGATCCTTATTTCCCCTCCTGTAGAATTTTCCGGAAGCTGAACTTGGCGCCACATCAGTTAGAAATTTTGGCAGCGCACTTGTTCAATAACACACACACACACGCACACACACACACACAGCCACTCTGTGAGGCTCTGAACAGAGATCTGTTGGTGTTAAAGGTTCACTTGTGTTCACTCCACGGCCAATCAGGTGCCAGAAATGGTTTTAGATAAAAGTCATGTGACCTCCTCGAGTGATACACTGTGGATTCACTTGGAAGGAGAGTGTGTCTTCAGGTGTGTGTGTGTGTGTGTGTGTGTGTGTGTGTGCTCTGTAAACATTACATCATTGTCATGTGACCACATTAGCCTTCAGCAGAAACAGGGAAATTCATCAGAACAAAAACAGATCAATCAGAGAGCTGTTTCAAACACCTCTTATCACCTGATATCTCAGCCAATCAGGAAGGAGCGCTGTTAATGTCCTTTTGGAAAGGACAAAGAACTGGAAATCATACTGAATCAACCGAACTGTGTAATTACACACTTTGACCACTAGGGGCTTCCTCTGAAAAGACTCCGATCCCCCATGATGCAGCAGTGCAGCTGCACAGACCCCACAGAGTCAGGTGTCCTGAGCCGACCTCAGCGGTGTCAGGTGTGTGTGTGTGTGTGTGTGTGTGTGTGTGTGTGTTTTTGAAAGCTGATCGAGTGTTTTGAATCTCGCCCCGCGGCCCCTGCGGTCTCGCCATAGAAACCCTGTTTGAGGTTTGTTTGGTTTTGACGGGTTCGAGATGTTTCCCGTGTTTTTGTGTCTGAAGGAGAAGGTGAGAGTCAGAGAGGGATCTTTGTATCAGAGGAGGAGGAGGAGGAGGAGATGAAGAGGTCTCACTCAGTGTCGAACAAACTGTCCGCTCAGAAACAGTCAGTGTGTGTGTGTGTGTGTGTGTGTTCAGTGTGTGTGAGTTCTGGGCTCATGTGTGTGTTGTGTTGTGAACCTGCTGCTCTGTCAGTAAACAGTGACCTGACTTTAGAAAGCTGCTGTTTTATTATCTGCTCATAATCCCAGTAACTGTGATCCTTTAATAAACCGACTGCACATCAGGCTGAGAGAGAGAGAGAGGGAGAGAAAGAGAGAGATAAAGAGAGAGAGAGAGAGAGAGAGGGGATGTACACTGTAAAAAATTCAGGAAACAAAGAACAAAGACATGGTCTCTGTAATCTCACCCGTTGGTTTCTGAAGAGAGGATTAAACCCCAAAGGTGATGGTCCAGGTCTGCACCTTTGCTGACTCCAATTCTACTGATGACTCCATACGAGTGGTCCAGAAAAAATAGAACTCTTGTGATCAGCTGAGGAGTCCGGCGATCGGCAGAGGAACGGAAAGAAGTCGGTGTAAATTGACACGTTAACTTGAATGGTTACGATCAGCTACGATCGGAGGATACGACCTTTTAGGAGACGATCAGGATGAAGGTGGAAATTGGGGGTGATGCTCAGCTGTTCCTAAAACCTGGAGCTGTTCATCGGTGAAGACCATGAAACTGTCACATTTACACATGAGTGTCAAGGAGAAGTTGTGTTGTCCACATATCGAACTGTTGGCAGCTGCTCTTCGGCCATGTCATGCTCCAAGAAACTTCAGTAACATCAGAACAATGCTCGTGGACATCCTACCCAAGGCAACGGCTGAAGTTCCATGTGATGTTCTCCATGATACTGTTGCAAGGATACAGAGTCAACATGGCATCAAACTGGTGAAAAAAAGCTCGTATCCAGTTGGACTGACTGGAGGATGTGGTGGAGAGATGCAGACTGAGGAAGGTGAAGAACATGGATACTGAAGAACGTGGATCATCCACTTTGTAACACCGTGACGGTGTTGGACAGAGAGATTCAGAAGATCTTTGGTTCCCACAGACATCAGGCTGTTTCATTCTTCTATAAATAGGAGATGAGATTCCTGTAACACCCTTGAGCTGAGTCAAACTTTATATCAGTGTCAGATAAACATGGAGGTTTTTTAAAGGTGTGAATCAGACAAAACTACACAAATAGGTCTTCTTCCTTCTAACAGAGGAGATCCTTCAAAAATCCACCTGTATGGGTGTCCTGAGTAAAGAGAGAAGCTATAAAAACCAAATCTGTCTCTGTACCAGCCTGTAAACATATGATAATAATGTTAATAATAATAATAATAAAAATAACTGTGACATGACGCGCTATTGCTTATCTGCTGTTACAGTGACTCTCTGGTCTATTTAAGAGTCTGTGTTTGACCATTTTTTACAGTGTAGGACAGAGGAGGGGGTGTGGCTAACATGTGCAGCACACACACTCTCACACACACTCACACACACTCTCTGTAACAGTAACACACACAGAGATATTCTGCAGCGCTGAAACACTTGAGGACTCCGCTGCTGGACTGACTCTGACCCTCTCTGTCCGGTTACCTGACTGATCACCTGTCTGACGGTCCGAGGACCAAACCGTCCCCCCAGGAGTTTCTTAAAGATCCACTTTTCTGGAGTTTCAGATCTTCAGGTTCAAATTTTTAATGGTCATTTTGAAGGAAGAGTTTCACAGTTCAGGACCGCACGCTCTCTGGATTTTTACTTCAAACTTTGTGAGTTTGGAAACTTTTCACTGCAGGGAGTTAAAGCAGCCAATCAGAAGAAGGCTTGATTCAGACAAGACTTACTATTGGCTGACTGCTAACGGGTTGATTAACTTTACTTTACTTTCTGACTAATGTTTGTCTTCATTTGTTGAGTAACTTGAATCAGAAACAGATTTATTTTTGCTATATTCCACTTTTATTTTGAAAGGGCTTAATGTGCTAGATTAAGTTTTTCGTTTATATTTTACAAATTGAAAAACATTCGTAATGAAGTCAGTTCTGTTGAAATGTTATCTGAGCTAAGTCCTACCTGTCCAGGTAAGGCAGCTGATCAGGAGCTGAACGAGGGTCGGTTCAAACGCACATAAACTGAGGATGTAGCTGTTGGACAGACGACGTCTTTTTGAGTCTCTATCGAGCTTTACGTCCTTTTTTACTCACCTGTCGCCATGGCAATGAAGCGTCTAAGCAGCCTGATGCTAAAGAAGTGGAAGGAGAAGGAGAGATGGACGGGGAGGAGGAGGAGCGAGCCGTTTGGAGGAGGATGTGAGGTCGAGGAGGAAGAGGAGGTCAGGGAGACGGACAGCAGAGACAGACAGACACACAGGTGGATGCTGAGGAGGAAGTCTGAACCGTGTGGACTGATGGAGGAAGACGAGAAGACGGAGGAGAAGAGGAACGAGGGCGGCAGGAAGAAAGAACGAAAGAGGTCCGAGTCAGACAGAGAGGAGGCGAGGAAGGACAAGAGGAGGACGGAGACATGGAGAGGGAAGGAGAGGAGGAAGTCTACACCCTTGATCGTGGTGGAGGACAGAGAGGAAGGACAGAAGGACAGGAAGCAGAAGGAGATGGAGAGATGGACGCAGCGGCGGCGGTCTGAGCCCTGTGGGGCCCTCTACGTTCAACTACTTCCTCTGTCCAACAGGAAGAGGAGGGAGCTGCTGCAGAGGAAGACGGGACGCAGGACGTCCTGCAGCGAGGAGGGGGACGAGTTCAGAGAGACCACCAGGCGGAGGCCGGAGCACGCCGGTCGACAGGACGACAGTAAGCAAAACGATTTCACAAAATCAGAGAAACAAATCTGAACAGTTTGACAACAACAAACACACAAAACTCAAAACCAGTCCGAGGCTAACACAACGCTAGCTCTTAGCTAACTAAGCCCCGCCCCCTTATCCAATTAAGGTCACTGTTGGCTCAGAAACAACCACTGAGAACAACAGTCTGGACCAGACTTAAGCCTCGGGTGATAAAAATGAAGCTGAGCAGAAATCCTAAAAACTGTAGTTCCTCCAGTGTCCACTAGGGGCACCACCTAAAGTGAGTCAGTCCCCATAGAGACCAATGTTAAAAACCTAACAGCAGAAATAAACATGTCGGGTTTGTATAGATCACTTTATCTGTCTATAACAACAGTACAGGCCGAACTGAGGATGCAGCATCTAGGATTTCCAGTTCTTCGTTGAAAGGACAACTGTTTTCCTTTCCAAAAGAAACATTAACCGCGCTCCTTCCTGATTGGCTGAGATATCAGGTGATCAAAGGTGTTTGAAACAGAACTCACCTGTAAATTAAAGGGACAGTCTGTGTATTTAGCAGAACAGGTTTGGATAAAATAAAATAAAAAAATTCTTATGTTTGTTTAAATTAGTGAATTATCACCTGAATATTTAACAGTTTTGTTGTTTTAACTCAAAATAGAATTTGTATGATGGATCTTTTTGATTTTACAGACAATATTTTGTCTTTTTTTCTCCTTTAAAATACATAAAAATAACCCTCAAGATAAAAACCCCTCAGGCGTGTCTTATCTCTGAGCCGAGCTTCAGACCTCCATCATGTAACAGTGCAACATTTGTTTGAATAATAAATCTGAACGTGAGGATTTTAAAGGACATTTTATCTCATTCATTAGATTTTCAAAATAAGGCACAAGTTTGAGTTTCTCAGTGTTTCTAATCTGGACTGAAGAAAAGTTTAGAAATGTGAAATAACAGAATCTATAGTGGGGTATTATTCACCATTAATAATACCTCACAAAACCTGGAACACAGGAGCCCAGTTGAGCAATGACACTTTTGTTACAGGTACAGGTGGTGGGCGTGGCCTAAATGGTGCAATTTCTCATTTCCTATTTTTTTTTCTTTCTTAATTTCGAAGGATTTGTTCGTTTGGTTTTTGCATCTCGGCTAAACTAAAACAGGAGCCAGCCAAATTAGAGTACTGATGCTTGGTGACCATAATTCAACACAACCACCTAAAAACAGTCAAAGTTGTTTGGATCATTTGGTCAAGAGTGCGTAAAAATCTAAAATAAGAGTCAGGACTCGGACTTTGACGAGTCTGAGGGTTTTACTGAGCGAGGAGCAGCAGTGATCTTCAGACGGTAAATTTACTGTTTAGATCTTAAATTCCTCTCCAGCTCCAGGCCTGAATCTGTGAACATAACTCCTCTTAACTGATGTTTAGCTCTCTCTCTTTGTCTCTCTCTGGGATGATACTGACAGAACAGGCATGAAAAGGTTCAAACTGATCTGTAATCCTTTCCATCGGCCCTCAGACGGACTCGGTGTGCGTCATTCCTCCACAGCAGAGCCCTTCTTCCCACCAAACTAAACCTGTAATCACAGTTTGTGTCAGGCTCTGTTTGATTAGGTTAATGTCACTGTGCTGTAATCTCCCCGCAGCACAGATCAGTTCAGTCTGTACGGTCAGAGAGGACAGAGGAGATATCTGAGGAGGAGGAGGAGGAGGACAGAGGAGACGAGGCCGAGGCGCCACGAGAGTCCATGAGGAATCTCACCTTCAGGTTTTACATGTTACCTTCATCCTGGAGGTTCGAGGGTTCGCTTTTAACCGTACTTTGAGCTGTTAGTCCCACATCTGCTCAGCCTCATGAAAACATGCATAAAACTTCTGCTGCAAAGTGTTAAAAATATTAAAATCAGTTTCAGCTGAAAGAATTTTATAAAACTATCAAAACGGAGCAAATGTTCCCGCTTGAGTACGTGACGTTGTCTCCTGGGTTTTTATTTATTAGTTTAGTTTAATCGTTGTCAAAGGGGCGTGGTTCCGCACTGTCGTTATTTTACAGAACAAACTCGTTAATTTATGGAACAAAGTCGTTATTCTGAGCTGTTAGTGTTGCTGTGTTACAGGAATGAAAGTTCTCGGAGACGTAGTTTTTGACCTCTGTAACATGAAGCTCTATGAGGACTGACTCACTTTGATAGACAGCCTCTAGTGGACACTAGAGGTACCGCAGTTTTTGGTGCTTCAGACTGACTACATTTACTCGTTAAGTCTCCTGGACAAAGTGGAGAATTTTGGGGGAGTGCATTGTGTGTGTGTGTGTGTGTGTGTGTGTGTGTGTGTGTCTGTGTGTGTGTGTGTGTGTGTGTGTGTGTGTGTGTGTGTGTGTGTGTGTGAGAGAGAGAGTCACTCTTCTGTAATCTGTTAAAGTGCCTGTCGCTTTGTGTTGCCCTCATCACTCTTTGTAGAGTTTCCTGTTAGCCGAGTAGTGTTTGTGTGTGTTTGTGTGTATTTGTGTGTGTGTGTGTGTGTGTGTGTGTGTGTGTTTGTGTGTGTTTAGGAGTGAGGTACAAGGTAACCTACATTATTTATTGCCCCCACACACACACAGAGTGTGTTCTTTCTGTTATCTGTAGCTCTGACTCGGTTGGTTGGACATCGGAGAGAGGACAGATTACACACACACACACACACACACACACACACACACACACACACACACACACACACACACACACACACACACAGGGAGTTTAAGGCTGTGATTCAGTCTTTAACAGGTAAATATCACACAGGTGATACCACCTCAGGAATGCTGGGTGTCACCGTTACCTGCTGGTTCACAGAGGAAATGACTCTAACATGATCTGAGACACACACACGTGACACACACACACATGACACACATAAGCTGTGTGTGTGTGTTTGTGTATTTTTGTATTTTTAGTGTATCTGTCATCAGTCAGCTGTTACAAGAGAATAACATCCACCATCACTGCTAAATATAGACTCTGTGTGTGTGTGTGTGTGTGTGTGTGTGTGTGTGTGTGTGTGTGTGTGTGTGTGTGTGTGTGTGTGTGTGTGTGTACATGGACTCATGTTGACATCCATGAGTGTTCTCAGTTTGTTGTTGTAACAAACAGAGTTCATCATTGAAATCACAGTTTTAGGATATCTGGGGTCCCAGTTTCACGGTAAAAGAACTTGAATGTTATCAGTCACCTGTAGCTGAAGTTTCACAGTAAAACTTTTTTGATTCTGCCGACACAGAGTCAGTTTGGTAGTAAAGTTTCAGGAATACTTCAGTTTTATATTTCATGTCATGTAGTTAAAGTTTCACTGTAAATTTAAGCAGTATTCTCAGCTCAATAATCTTTAAATACTGCAGTAAAAATATTTATTTAGTTAAACCATTACATTGAGTAAAAATTAACACTAAAAGTTTCTTAACCACGTGTTCTGAGGTGAAATAAAAGTACCTCAGAAAACAGTCAAAGTATCCTCTTATTACAGTAACGGATCACAGTATTTGTATCTGCCTTTCTACTGCAGTACTTCACACATCTGACTGAAGTACTGCAGCTGTGTACTTGTCTGCAGTAACTCAGCGTGTCCTCCGGAGGGCAGCAGCTCCTCGTTTCATCTTCACTGTGGACTTCAGTCTCACACTGACTCTAACTTTCTCTCTCCTCCTCCTCCCTCTCTCTCCTCTTCCTCCCTCTCTCTCCTCCTCCTCCCTCCCTCTCCTCCCAGCCTACAGCCTCTCCTCAACTCCTCCCCTCCCTCCTCCTCCCCCTTCACTCCCCCGTCAGGAGGAGGTAAACGTTTTGCGTCTGGAGACCTACCTGACGGAGCCGAGGCGTCCAGAGACCAGGAGGCTGCGCTCCTTCTCCTCCCCTCCTGACACCGGACCGCGGTCCTCCTCCTCCTCCACCTCCTCCTCCTCGTCCTGCTGCTTCCAGCCTCCCCCTCTGGCTCCTCCTCTTCCTGTCGGGAGGCTGGTGAGTGAGACGTGTTAAATGAAGACAGAGTGAAGAGTGACCGAGTGTCAGAAATAGAGATAATGAGACAGGCTAGAGGGGATAGGGGAGACCGGGGCAGGATGTCACACTTTTTATTCTCATGTCATCATCTGATTAACCAACACACACACAAATCTACACATAATGACAAGAGAAAGGTGTCCAGGAGATCCTTTTTTATATTTAGGAGACTAACTACACTCATTTCAGTGACTTATTTATTTTTTGTATTCTTGTTTTATTTACAGCAGTGTCAGTTTTCGGCCTCCGTATAAAACAAACTCTGGTATTATCTAACGTAAACACAAAGGTATAAATACTTCATGTATTAAAATGATCACAGTGAGTCTGAAAAATCATATTTATAAAGAATATTTTTAAATCCGGTGAACCATTTTTCTTTAAGTATAAGTAAAAATCTTTAAGCCTCTCTTGCCCTAACTTAATTATCAAAAAAAGTCAATGCAAACTTGTTAACAGTTTTTAATCTGCACTCCAGCAGACCTTTGGTGCTCACCTTCTGCCCCTCAGTGGTTAATTGTTGCACTGCATGTTTGTGTTCAACAGGCTTTTCAAGGAAAATTATAATCTGACTATAGAGGTCCAAAAACATGAGCATTAACTCAGATTAATGAGGCTCCGTGGGGTTAATAATAAAGTATAATTAATCTAATCCCTGCTCATGTTAAAGACAGCAGACTCAGCCAGTCAATCAACATCTAACCAGAGAAGAACTCCTGCTCTGTTCACTTTTCTGTGTTAATTATTGATGATTTACAGACTCAGCAGTTATTTCATGTTAAGCTGATTCATCAAAGTGTCTAAAAAAAACTGCTGAGTATTCATGACCTCTGCATAAAAACGGAGTCAGACACAGAGAGCAGAAACTGAATCAGGCTGATCAATATTTGAAAAGTTCAAATTTCACTCTGAAACGAAGAAAAACCGGAAATATATGAACCTCTGAAAATCACTGAACTTCGGCTCCATTCGGCTCCGATCGGCTGAGAACGGACACGTTCGGAAATGTGTCGCTTGAGCGACGACGCGGCGTCAAGTGTACGATGATACAGAGGTCTGAACCGGAAATGATCCTGTCAAAATAAGATGAACGACGATTCAATAAAGTAGTATAATAAGAGGAACCACAAAAAAGTCAACAGTTTGTAAAAAGTCGAGCTGTTTGTAAAAAAGAAAATAAATTAGGGGACACAGTTATAGTAATTAAGCTTTAACCAAGCCTGTACTTAAACTCTGAGATTTATATATATAATTTTTCATGATTAAAATTTTTTTTTACAATCGTTCACTGATCAATAAACATCAGAATCAGAACGCCTTTTATTGTCATTATACAGAAGTTACAACGAGATTAAAGAGCTTCACCATTTTCAGTGCAATAGATACTAAAAATGTAAACAAGAGACCAAATTTAAAGTACAAAAATAGTTGTAAAAATTAAATACTAATAATAATAGTAGGTACGGACTATACACATGATTAAATCCTCCTGTGCAGCGTAGACAGTGTAATGAAAATGAAAACTATGTACAAGAAAAGGAGATAAATATTAAGGCAGGATCCTACCATATATTGAGGGAGGATTCACAAGCAGCACTGGTAATCTAAATTTATTTTTTTATTTATTTTTTTTTTTTATAAATATGTGAGATAAGATCCAATATTCATCAAAAATAGTAACTCCTGCTTTATTCAATCTAATAAATAAAAAAGTGAAATTGACCTACATGAAAAGACAGGGAGAGAAAAAAAAGCTGAGTTTAAGATAAAAATAAAGGAGAGATATTTAGTAGAGTATTTTGGCTTATTAAGTGTTTGCAGTTAAAACAGGAGTCTTGTTAAGAACTGAAAGTAAATACTGTATGTTCTCAGTGTCCTTAAACTCATGAAAAACAACTTCCATTTATTCCTCTGTTTTTAAATGGGCTACTTTTATCAGGCTGTAACGTCCCAGTCGTTATGCTTTTGTTTTGAAATCTGAACCGGAAGTGCAGCGTCTCAGCTCCGGCAACTTTATTCGCCGCTGCGTCTCCGGTGCTCCGAGCTGCTGTGTTAACCTGAGACCGAGCGGCGAACAGCGGCGATCTTCGCCGACAGAGGACGACTGTTTGCCGGCAGACCAGCTCCTCTCAGCCGGGCAGAGATGTAAGATGGAGCCGTGAGGACAGATTCTCGGTTATTAATCTTTAGATCGTCATCACGGAGAAACGGACATAAATTACCGGAGGAGCGTTAATGAACGGTGACTGTCAGGTAGGTGCTAACATTAGCTAACGGCACATAGCAGCACTTCATCAGTGATGTCGCTGCTCCAAATGTGAGATTTACCCCCGAAAACCTGTAAAATATCATAATTTTAATATCCCTGACACAGACACTCCTCTGCTGAGAATGATCCCATACAGATGTAAGAAAAGGCTGCTGTAAAAATCACAGCTTTAATAAATACCAGGAGACCAGATTATCCGGTTACCAAATGATCCAGAACACCGGGCTCCTTAAAACCAGCTAAAATCCCCTAAAACAGACTGTGACCTGATTAAAAAACCTCAAATAGAGTCAGACTGATTTATATATTTAATATAATTCCACATTTGTATATGATTTAATTTACAGTGACATTAATACATTTTCACACTGAAGGAATTAAAGGGGAGAAATTAGGATTTAGGAAATAAAGTTTGGAGTATTAATAAAATAAAGTCGAAAAAAATCTGAGTTTAACAAGTTTAACGGCAAGAAATAACGAGAATAAAATCTTAATATTATGAAGATAAAGTCGGAGAAGTCCATATAATTTCACACATATGTTAGGGCCACAGAGTCATGGCAAAAATCAGACTTTGAGTGCTATTTAATTAAAAATTTTAGACACAATTTCTACCAATTATACATAATAATAATCATAATAAAAACAGCTTTATTTGTATAGCACTTTTAAAAATAGAAGTTTACAAAGTGCTTTGACATATAGTCATAGAGCACATAGAAAAAGATAAAGACAAAAAGCTCATTTAAAACAGAATTAAAGGCAAACTTAGACAAAACGAGAACATGCAGAATAAACTGAGACCATGAGGATCAAAATAAAAACATAGTGAAGAAAAGGAAATGTAATATAAAAGGGGATCGAAGGAGGAAACCGGATAGTAAATATAAAAGCTAATATCAACAATGATGATAAAATAATAACAAGTAATCCTGATTATAGTAGTAATGATAAAATAGAGCAAGAGATAAAACAATAAAAGGCCTAAAAGGTTAATTAAGAGAAGAGTACAAGTTTAACAAAAGATAAAAAAGACATTAAAGCTGAAATAAGATAAGAGATGACAGATGAAAGCTGTCTACATCTTTATCACAGACATTTACACAACTTAAAACCTTTTAATTCAGAAGTAAAAAAAACAATATAGTTTATCGAAGTTTGTCTGAGGTCTGACTGAAGGATATGATTATAAACTGTTTATTTAATCTTTAGATTTTAACTGAACTTCATTTGCAATGTCAGAATTTAGACTCAAGTTTAATCAGTTTGGAGCAGACTAAGGCTAATTTAAAGACACACAGATACAAACACCTGCCTCCTCCTCTCATCTCTCCTCTCCTCTCTCCCCCATTTCCTCTCATCTCTCCTCTCCTCCTCTCTGTCCTCCCCCTCTCCTCCTCTCCTCCCTTAACCTTTTCATTTCTTGTTCTCGTCTCTCAGAGATGAAGATAAACTCAGATCTGTTTCAGAGGAAATAAAAATGATCTGATCTTTTTTTGTTGTCAGATAAATTAAACACACTTTTTATCGTCAACACTCCAGCTGACTGTGTGTGTGTCTGTGTTTGTGTGTTTTTGTGCAGGTGGAGGCTGCAGACGGCATGTCGGAGCAGCCGGACCCCGACGACGCTGGTGAGACTTGAGACTGTGTTGGTCTGCACCGTCACACACACACACACACACACACACACACACAGACTGACCTTCATCGGTCTGAGGATCTAAAAACAGACTGAGATCACTCTCCAGGGGACTAAACTGAGACTGCAAAGGATCATGGGTAAAAAGGACAGGTAGGGTGTCTCCGGTATCAGCTGTAGTCTGTGGATGTGGGTCTATCAGGTCAGTCTGGATCAATAATGTCAGGATTAGAGGTCCATCAGAACAGGAACAC